CCCTGGCTTTACCATCAGCAGCATATGTAAAAACCCAGTATCTCCACATGCTGGGGTACAGCCATGAGGTAGTGGAAAGCCCACCTGTCATGCACAAGGCTGTAAGTTTGACACTCACTGTATGTCTGTGGGTGTCCGACTACGTTAGCATTACTGAATGTGGGTAACAGCCATGCTGGGTATGGGGGTGTACCTGTGTAATTCCAGCACTCGGAAGGCTGAGACAGGGGGATCTCTGCAAGTCTGAGACCAGGCTGGGCTACAAAGTGAGCTCAAGGCCAGCTTGAACTGCATAGCAAGACCCTGTCTCAAAAAGACAGACAGGGGCTGGTGAGATGGCTCAGTGGTCTAAAGCACCTATTTAGAACAAGCTTAGCAAAGCACAGGGACCGCGGTTCAATCCCCCAGCATCACATGCCAGCCAGCCCTGCCCCCTGGTGGGCTGAGCTGGCCACACACACACACACACACACACACACACACACAAAATAAATAAATAAATAAATAAATAAATAAATAAATAAAATTTAAAAAAAAAAAGACAGACAGACAGACAGACCAACTGATCAACCGACCAAAAGAAAACAGTAACAGCAGCCACAAACTCTTGTCTATAGCCATAAAATATATTGGAAGATTCAAATATACTATTTTAATCATTTTATTTAGCCCTACATATGCAAACTATTACAATTTCAATATGTACTTAGCACAAAAATTTGTAAGCAGTTTCTTTCACGCCCAGTCAGTAACCCAGTGTGTATTTCTAGCCTCGCTTCCAGTCTTGCTTGAGGCCCTGGGATTTCTGTTCGCACAAGAGGGGATATCTTCCCTGCTGTCCAGCGTGGGCCTCAGTGACAAGATGCAAAGGACCCTGGGGTCAGGAGGTGGCAGGTCCACTCCGGGGCTGTGACACACGGGCATGTAGGGGGAAGGGGGAGAGGAGGCTGGGCCTCTGCTGGGATCCAGCCAAGCCTGAGTATCTGGCTCTCACTGTCAGTCAGCAGGTGCTGGGCCTCAGTTTCCTCATACAGATGGGGAAACCCAGTCTACACTACACTTTCTCTGCATGTCCTCACCCGTTTAAACCTCAGACCATTTCTGGTACCATTCACAAAGTTTCCATCCTGCCCCCTAGAACTCCGTGTCCTGCCGCCATGCTACCCCTCTGTGTGCAGTGCAGATCCAGAGGGCATGGTGGGTGATGTCTCCAGCCCCAAGTCCCCAGCATAGTGCCAGATCAGAGCCTGCCTGGACCCCCCTGTGATGGCTCAGCCTCCTGTTCCCACATGTCTCACTCTGCTGCAGCTTCCCTGGAAGGCCTGGTTGTCCTTCCAGCCTCACAGCACAACCAGCTGCATGGGCACCAGTGCTCTCACTCAGAATGCAGGACACTGGAGGCAGGGCGCAGCCCTGAAGCTGCTGGGTCTGATTTCCTTCCTACTAACAAAGCCTAGTGTGCAACTCCCACCCAAACTCCCTGGTCTGCTTTATGGGCTGCAATCTGTCATTTCCTAGCTGGGACTTAGATTTGTTTTGTTTTTTGAGACAAGGTCTCACTATGTAGACCAGGCCAGCCTCAAATCACAGTGATCTTCCTGCCTCAGCCAGCCAAGTGCTAGAATTAGAGACATGTGCTACCACACACAGCTTTCCTTTATAATTTTTTCTCTGTTCTTTCTAAACTTTTTAGCTTCATCCGAGAGAGTATCTGGATTTTTGATTTTGCTTTTGGTTCTTTGGAGAAGACATGTCCTCTACTATCTAAAAAGGTGAACTAAGGCAGTGTGGGCTTCAGCAGGAGGACTGCTGCTCTCCCATGGACTCAGAACTAAGTGACCTGGTGGGGAAAAGAGCCCTGAGCACCTCTTGCCCAACACGGTGCTAAGGCGGCACTGATGTCCTGCTTCTCCAGGCAGCTCCGGGGTCCCCAGAGTGAGTGGGCATCCACACCTCCAGAGCTGCAAGGATATAGTTTTTTTCCTGAAACTTACCCAGTCTGTCACAGCAGCAGGAAATAGGCCTTGACAGAAACCCTCTCTCCATTTGTAAAACTCCTACCTGACCACTAACTAGGTCCATTAGGACCCAAACAGAATGCCCCACCCATGCCATGTGGGAATGCCACATTTCCACATAGACTATTCCTCCCTGCTCCTTAAGTGCCAGACACTAAAACAGGCAAACAACTGCTGCAGACCTCCCAGCGGGACCTGTCACATGCTTTTGTGGGTTAGAAAGACGCATCCTCTCAGCCCCTCCAAAGTGCTCCATTAAGACGTGTCCCCTTGTTTCCCAGGCCCCACTGTGACAACACAGGACAGGGACATCCTTAGCCTGCCCTGGACCCACTTTTTTCTTGGATGCTCCTTCATGAACCCCTCAGCTGTGCACCTTTTTCCTGGTCTTTGGTTCCTCCCTAAGGGACAGCCTGGCAGGCTCTGTCACCCTCCCTCTGTGCATTGCACTTACCCCAAGCCCCTCAAGCCAGCATGCCCACCTCTTTGGCTAGCCATGCCTCCTACAATGGCCATCAAACATGCTAACTGCATCTCAGAGGGCAGCATACCCTCTTTGGCCCTGATCAAACTGCTTCAAGGATATAGCTTCCAGTGTACTGAAAATACTGACTCTGTCACACTGGGAACACATCTGTGAGACCCAAACCCCAGGATAAGCCTGTCATCTGCAGCTCTGCCTGCAACAGAGAGAGATTTTGAGACACTGAACAGCAGGGCTTAGTATGCAAGGCCCCTCCAAGTTGCAGGGCTATGGGACCTTGGGACTCACACCGCAGGGCCATAGCCACTCTGAGGCTGAGGACATCAGAGGTGGCAGTCCCCTGTGCTGCCAGAGGAGAGCATTCAGGCCAGCTCCACAGAGCAGGCAAGAGCTTCCTGAATTGGGCGGTCCCAGGGTGCTTGCTCTGCACTTCTCCCCAATGTCCCAGACCTCCCCATAAGGGCCCAGTTGCCTGAGGGTCCCAGGATGAGGCACTTCCTATTGCCCACTGAAGCAGCTCCTGGGCCTGGCTCTTTCTGTCAATGCTCAAAGTGCCCCCCTCCCAGGGGTGTCCCCCCCACCCCCACACTGCCGGCCCTACAGATCCTGCCTGGTTCCACCCCAGAACCTCTGCCTTGCCAGATGCTGCCTGGGTCAATCTCACCCTGATCTCCACCCATAGCCCCCCTCAGTTCAAATTACCCTGCTCAGACACTGGGGTCTGGTCCCTGCTCCCTTCTTTCTGCCTGCATTGTCACCTAATACACTCATTGCTAGCTACCTACACTGCCTGTCCCACCTGCCTGAACACTGGGGCTACCAGGCCCGGCACCTTCAAGGTTGGCTGCAGCTTGAGACACATGCTAGGTGCTCAGTGTGCCTTGATTACGTGTGAGCTGAGGGTGCAAATGCCCCACGCACACACACACTGCAAGGGGAGCCGTCAGGTGTCGTCCACATGGCTCACAATCCAAACTGACACCTAGAAAATGCTAGGAGCTGCATCTGAGTGAACGGGGCTCCCTCCCAAACCCAGCCACCCTGACAAAGCTGGTCAATGGCACTTGTGGCTATCTCTTCATTTATTAATTTGTGTCCTTAAGAAATAAAGCATCCCGGCCCCTTCCAAAACGGAACACAGTTATACGTTCTTGGCTGGCAATGTTTTTCGCAAAAATAGGAATCAGATATAAAAAGAAAAACTCCATAAAGAAGAGAATTGAGAGCCTTTCCCTTTGAAAATCCCAACTCTGATCCCACCAAGTCTGAATGGCTCCCTGGGAGGCCGGGATTTGGAGCCAGAGGGAGCCCAGAAAATATGGAGAAGGTGACAGCACTCAGGCCTGGAACAAAACGTGGCCATGGGTGGGGATCCTGTCACTTAGGAAACAGTGTAGGCATCACTGAATTCTCCAGGGAGGTCTTCCTTGTCATCCGCTGTGGTTGGTCACAAAGCCTCCTAGTCACCTCCAATGGTGGGTCACAAACCTAGGTCACCTTCCCCTGTCACCCTCAGGGACACAGGACCAGGCGGGGCTCTCCACGCCCACCTAGTGAACTGATGTTCCAGGAGTGGCTTGAGAGCATGTGGGTTCTGAAGGTTTTGCACAGGCACAGGTTCACGTGTCCCAGTCACACGCGTGCTGCTCCCATGTCCAGCCACCTGGCCACGGCAAGGGTCACTTCCAATGTGTGCAAAAGGCCAGGGCGGCCGCTTTGGGGGCTGCACAGTGGTGGAGCCCAGGAAGCACTTACCAGGGGGTTGCACTCTCCATCCGGGGTCAAAACTCACCCCCAGGTCACTGGAGCCACACAGGGCCTGGTCCCCACCTGTCCACCCCTTCCCAACAGAAAAGCACATGCCACCTGCGTGTCTGCATCCCCCCCTCTGCCACCAAAACACTTAATAAAGTAATTAGTAAAGGAGTCCTGGAGAGCCCACCACCCCATCTCAGCATTTTTACACCCCAAAAGGGATAGGACGTGGAGACCCTAGCGTGGGCTCTCACGCCCGTGTCCCCGGCCTAGGGGCCAACTACAGCCAGCCAGCCGTGGGCGTCGCCGGCCCCCTGGGCCCGGCGTGGGCGGTGGGCGTGGGTGCTGGGCCCGGTCCCGAGGAAGGGTAGAAGCTGGACCCGAGTGGGCAGCGGCCTGGACGCGATCCCAGCCAGAGGCTCGCGTGGCGGCCCGGCGTGGGCACGGGAGCGGTGGGGCCGTGGCAGCGGGACCGTGGGGCCGGCGGGCGGGACCCG